CTGCTTTCCAACATGCAGCGGTAGCTGGCCTGAGGATAAACCCCAGGGTGTGCCCGGTTCCCTGTAAAGCAAGAGATCTGTGGGTTGCCCACTTGAGCCAAGAGCATCACACCGATCTGGCTCAGCTGGCTGAGCTAAACTCCATGGGAGCTATTCTGGTGGTCTCTCCAGTACTGCACGAGACAAGAAGCATGGCCTAAAGTAACATCCACCTACAACACACTAGTAGATCATTTCAGATTCAGTACTATGTACAATTTACTCTTACTTAGTACACTAAGGAGCTGTGGTATTTCTTCCGAGACGTGTTATTTGACTGAGGATTATTGAATCTTTGTCCACTGGGCTGCAGAGGGATGCTGCACTCCGGCTCTACCATCCGGTTAGGAAACTTCAACAACCTGCCTCAGTTCTTCAAACAGGGGTGTGAGCTCCTTCTCCAAACTTACAATCAGCCCTGGAAAGAGAGAAGAAACAGAACATCTCAAACAACAGAGAACTGAGAGGCCTCTCTCCAAATCCCACAGCTCCCTCCTCTTCCACGTCACAGGCGGTGTTTTCCGAAACACAGAGCATTTCACTGGATCTGCTCCCTCTCCAGGGGAACAGCGGGCAGCACCCCCAGGCAGGGCACCTGCAGCCCCAGCACCAGCGGGGGGCCGTGCAGGGCAGCGCTCTCCCATGCTCCTGCTTGCCTCCCCCATCGCCTTGCTGCTGCCCACAGCTACCGCTGCCCAAGCAGCTCTGCAAGAATTCAATCCCTTTTGCTCTCACTCTCAGTAGCCAGCGCCCTCACAGGCAAGGCCAGGTGCCTCACTGAAGGATTTCCCCACCCCACCCAACTGAGAATGTGAAACTGCACATGTTACTTTGGAACTTAACCTGGAACTGATGGAAAGAGACCAAACAACTGGCTCATATGGTACAACCATTGCTGGTGCAGTGAACACTCTCACATAGCAAGGGTAAGGTTAATCACAGGAGAAATATGCTTCTAACAGAAGAACAACTTCAGCGACTCACCTAAAAAACTATGAATTTTTACTCACACCTTTCCCTTCTCCCCTTCGCAATATGCTAACAAAAGTCATAGCAGGAGCAAAGTTAATATACCTTGAAGCAAATTCAAGTACTGAAACACCTGGACCTTAAAATACTGCAACACTTAAGATACACGAGAAGACGTACCGGTGTTGGCGTTGCTGCTGGCAATGAAACTCACTACCAAAGGTAAGCGATTGAACTGCACCACCTGCACGGAGAGAGAACAGCGTTCAGCCGGCAGCTAACACACGCTGGATGTCAGAGCTCTGCCACAGAAATCCTTTCTGAAACAAGCAGTTTCAAGGGCAAGCAGGACTAAGAGTCACAGAGCTGACTTTTCAGTGTATCTGTTTCATGAGATTCACGGTTAAAAACACCAACAGAACTCACACCACAGTACAGGAAGCGGCACACAGAGAGCCTGGTGTTTTCCTCCCTCCCTCCCTCCCTCCCTCCCGTGTTCTGCAGTGTTACCTGCCTGAAACCTGACTCGGCTGCAAACACTGCAGGTTGCACTATGGAGACCACACTCTCCACAGGTAACGTGAGGGCAGGCAGGTTTGTTGTTTTAGAATACTATTCAGTGTATAGCATTATCTCTTCTTCCATTAATAGGGAACTGGAATCTTGAGCACAACAACAAGCTACTAGCGTCAAGAGAATCAAAGCAATGTACTCATTATGCATAAACCAACTCATTCACCCACTTACTTTCCAAACAAAGCTAGATACATACTGTAAGGCTAAACAGTTGGCCAGTTTCCTGCAGTCACAATAAAAAGCTCTCACAACCACCAGAACTTAAGAAGGAGCAGAAGCTTAGTAGATGATGGATTTCAGGACACAAATAACCAGTTTGTAAAAAAATGTGAGTGCTATTTCAAAGCTTTCTTACCTCAAACTCCTACTGGCAGCCAGATCAGCTATGAAGCAGGCTGCATGTGCTTATTTAGCTTTAGGTGACACCAATTAAAACCAAATACTGTTTGTAAAAGAGAACATAAACCCTTTGTAACAGATTCTGAAGGCCATATGAGCAGCCTCT